AGTATTTTTTTTTCAGTTTTTTAAATTACAAAGTAATAAAAAGCTTTGCTCTTTAATTAAAAAAAGAAAAAGAAAAAGGAAAAAAAAGGGGAAAAAGAGGTAAATAAATTAGGAAATACACACACGGAGAAAACAAACAAAAATAAAGTAAAACTGGGTGTTAACTAGGAGGGGTGGATAAATCCAGTGCCCAGACCTGACCCCAGGCTCCTCCGAGAGAGAGAGAGAGAGAGAGAGAGAGAGAGAGAGAGAGAAAGAGAGAGAGAGAGAGGCAGAACACGGGGAGGGTGGGGTGCCAGGTGAATGTCAGGACTGGAGAATTAATTTATAACCCAGGAGCCAGATGCTTTCTGGAAGTAGTCTCCACGGATTCTGCCCTAAGACCAGGGAAAGGGGATGGGGCTGCCACAGGCTGCTGACAGTCTCAGGGGTTGGTAGTGGCAAGGACCCTCTGTGCTCTTCTCGAGGGCCATGGAAGTCACTGCCTGTCCGTGTCCTTGTTATTTGGAGGATGAGAACCCAAAGTCCGCCTGGCAGGTGGGGCGAGGCACCTGCTGTCCTGGGAGCTACACATACAGACACACACGCACACAAGGAATCTCAGCCCCCACCACCTCGCCCACCCATTCCTCAAAGTCTTCTTGGAGAGGCAAAGAAGAGACCCAGACGTTCAGGGGACACTGGAAAAAGCCCAACACAGAAATTCGGCCACAGTCACTTCGGGGCAATAGGGGCTGTGCCTGTCTCCTGGGGTTCTGCGGCTCAGAAGCACCCAGTGGGATCTGCCCCCGACCAACCACACCATTCCCCCGGCTCCTCAGGCCACCTCTTGATGGCACGTGAGGACCAGGGGCGTCTCCAACACAGGGACAGCCCCTCCCGGCCGGTGCCTGTGGGGGCTGGGGCGGGGCCGTGGCGTCTGGCGAGCACTTGGCAGCCTGAAGGTTGTGGACAGTGGGAAACGCATAGGGACACGAATCCTCTGTGCTGAAGGCATCCCATCTTCTTGCCATTGGCCAAAAAAAAGAAGGAAAAAAGAAAAAGAAAAAAAATAAAAGAAAATCCATCGTCGGTTTTATGCTGGGTTTTTTTCTTTTTGTTCTTTTGAGTGGTTTTTTTCCCCATCTTTTGTTGTTGTTTTTTAAAAGAAAATACAGTGAAGACACTAGAAGGGGGAGAGAACACAGATCAGGTGCATGTCTGCCTCTGGCCACCCATCTGCCAGACCACCTGCAGTCCCCACGCTCCTGTCCTGAGGCTTTGAGCTGGTCCCTCTCCGGGGACAGAGTGGGTGCTCCATTTTCATGGGAAGAACAAAACCTCTCTCCTTCCTGTCCTCTCGGTGAGCAGCCACACGTCCGCCCCACCCTGCCACAGAAGGACTGGCTCCCGGACCTGAGAGCTGGCGAAGGCAAGCCCTGTTTCACATCCCAGCTCTATGTGTGGAATGAATTTCTGCCAAGCACCTCACGCCCAGGATGTCCCGGTGTGAGGCCAAGCCGGTGAAGGCCCCTGCCATGGGAGCCCAAACATTGCCCTATTCCCCAGGGACCTCTTTCGCCCCCCCCCCGCCCCCCCGCCCCAGACCCTCCGAGAACCTCTACCACCTCTGCTTCCCCAAGCCAGGCCCCAGAAAGAGAGACCTGCTGTACAGCACCTCAGGCCCACATGTGGCCATGGAAATCCCTTCGAGGTTCATGCTGGCTACTCGTGAAGGCCACCAAGGGCCTTCTCTTACAGCTGATAAACTCCCAAGGACATGATCCTATTCTAAGTGGTAACAACCCAGGGGCTAAGGTAGGACTAAAGGCCTGGGGGAGGTCAGGGTGTGGGCCCTGGGACTGTCTCTGCTAAGAACTAACTCTGCAGACTATTTCAAGGTTGGGGGGGAGGATAGAGGACTGCTCTGAGGGCAGAGGAAGGGTTTTTCCAGCAGCAGTTAGCTGGTATGGGCTAGGCTGAGTCAAGTAGCTCTGAGGTAAATTCTCTCAAGAGCTGTTGATTTGGGGTGGGAGGGGGTCCCTGCTACTCCCCCCCACCACTCCACAACATACACTCATCTCCTCCCGGAGGCGTGAGTGTTTCTAGACCTGGCTGGGCTGCGTCTGCAGCAGTAGTGACTCACCTAAGCAAATACTGGTCCGATGGTGGCTCTTCCTCACTTCCCGAGATGGTCAAATGGCACGCTTGTCTTTGGGAGGAGAGGCACAGAGGTGGAGAGGGGATAAGCTGCTAATGATGGCAGTCTGGCAAGTCTCTCCCTACCGTGGAGCTCTGCGCCCGCCCCCACCGGCCCTGGAGCCAAGGGAAGGGGTGTGTGTGTGTGACCTCAATGACCCTAGGAGGTAGCTGCTTCGTAGACAAGAACATTGCCCAGAGAGGCAAAGTAGCTGCTCCAGGCCACACGCACGTCGGGGCCATCAGACTCCCAGCTCGTGGCCCGTCCTGAGGCTCACCCACCACAAGCAAAAGGACCAAAGCAGGTCTCCTGCCTGCCTCTGCCAAGACACCTTCCCTGGGCAACCAAGGACTCCCCCTTCCCAACTTTCCTAGTCTAGGCGTGGTCCCAGCAGACCACCAGCAGAATCTGCCCATCCCTCCACGCTGTGCTGACCCAGCCCCGAGGGGGACTTCCTGATGGCCGGGATCACAAGCCCCTCCTCCGTGAGCTCCCTGCTGCCCGCCCGGACGAGGCCCCAGTCCTGAAGGCAGGATCCCAGGGCCACCACCTGCTGGGGCAAGCGACTTCTCTGAGCCTCAGTTCCTACTTTGCCCACCGGGGCTAAGCCAACCTCAGGAGATTAAAAGAGGCCAAGTCCCCGCTCAACAAAAGGGGCTGCTCCAAGGTTATCGGAGAGGCGAGAAGAGAAGTGCCAGCCCGGACTCCCTCCAGGGCACGGCCCTTGGGCACGGCGGCGAGGCATGGGAGGGCTGGAGCGAGCGCAGCTCACCTGTGAGGCTGAAATCCGGGAGACCTCTTGCCGCCCAGTGAGGTCGGAGGACGAGACGTTGGCAGGCGCACCCCTGTGCAGCCTCATGCTCACCTTCCTCTCTCTGTCGACTCGTGAGATCGCTCTGGGAGAAGTGTTGCCTAGAGGGGAGGAGCAGGGGGAGGCCACCCTCGGTGTCTGGGTCCCCGGCCGCCCCGGCCTCCCCCCGGGGCCCAGCCCACCGTGCGAGGCCCCCGCTCACCAGCTTGCTGGATGCGGGAGGCTGGGGTGGAAGCCACAGGCTCGGCAGCACTGCGGAGCCGGTTGGCGGTGGCCCCCGTGGGTGGGCCAGGGGGCAGGGCCCGGGCCGCGGAGCCCCGGAGCTGCCCCAGCCTCTCCTCGCGCTCGTGTTCTCGCCGCTCCCGGTCTACGTCCTCGGGGTTCCGGGCCGCGCCCTGTGGGGACGAGGTGAGACCTGGTCAGGCCGGTGCTTGGAGGTCCAGCACTCCCGCAGCGCAGAGCGTGGGGAAGGAGGCCGGGGGGGCACCGGGGGAAGATGCAGCTCAGAAACCCTCCGGTCCAACCTCCTCCCCACAAGGCAGGAAGCCCGAGAGGCCTGGAAATGACCCCCAGTCCCACAGTACAGAGAAACAAAGCCACACAACCGCCCAGAGGAAGGAGGAAGCCGGGTCTGAGGAGCAGGGCGAGGTCGCTCTGCCCTGATCTCATGGGGCTGAGGCAGCGCTGGGAGGGCTAATGCCCCAGAATGTCCAAGGGCACTCCTTGGCCCGCCCAACCTGGACCCCTACTGTGTTCCGGAGCCCTCAGCCCCTCCAAGTTTCCAAACAAGCAGGGCAGGTGTTCAGAGATCCAGAGAAAGAGGAACAGGCTAGCTAAAGGCAAGGCCAGCGTTTGAACCAGGGCGCCAGCCAGGGGATTTGTCAAAGGCTGTTCTTCCCCTGTCCCTGGACCGGGCAATGACTTCTGGCAGGTGCTGTGGGGGAGGCCCCGGGACTCACACAGATGCTGCCAGCCCTGGGACAAGACAGGAGCTCAGGGGGAGCTCGAGGAAGAATGGGCTAGATGCCCTGTGGAGGAAAAAGAGGCCCAACAGGCAGGCTGGGGCGGAAGGGTTCCGTGAGCCCCCAGGGCCTGCCCTTCAGCCGCTGCCACCCCAGTGCAGGAGGAAAGGAGAAAGGCTCAGAGAGAGGAGCATGGCGTGGGAGCGGCACCTGGCCGCATTACCTAGTTGGTCCTGGGGTCGTCCACAGGGAAGGGCAGGGGGCTGGCATGAGGGGGGCCGCATCTGTGGAGGAGAGAGCTGCAGGCTGAGTGGGGGGCCTGTTCACGGGCCATGGGGTGCAGGCTCCTGCAACCCTGTGTCTCTCCCAGGGACCTGGCCAAGAAGGCCCTGCCGTCTTTGGGGAATGAGGGCTGGGGGCGGCCCTTGCCTTTAAGCAATTCCAGGAGATAGGGGCTAGGGATCAGAATGATCCCTGAATCCTAGTGAGGAATCGAGGCCCGAGGAGCCCTCATGACCCTGTGTGGGGTCACACAGCTCAGGGCAGGGCCAGGGTCTGAATCCAAGCCTCTGTCACCCGATCCTACTCTGCACCCCCGGAGGACTTCGGAGGGACGCACATCCCCAGCCCTCCCACCCACAAGCCTGTCCGGGCAGGCCTGGAACCGCCAGGGCACTAGGTCCTGACTCCAGTTCCCCACCCCCACAGTCCACCCCCCTCCCCCAGCCCCGGGCTCCCACTTGGTGATAGGACGGCAAAGAGCATCTCAGCCAGAAGCAGAGCAGGCCTGTGTTAAGAGCTGCAGCTCCACTCAGGAAACCTGCGGGCCGGGCGGGGACAAGCTCATCCCTGGCTGGGCCAACTGAGACTGATAAAGCCAAGGGGTCCGCCCAGAGGAGTATACAGCCCCGGGGTGAGCGAGTGCACAGAGGGCCGGAGCCCCTGCCCCTGGTGACCCCAGCAGGCTCGGGTCAAGGCCAACCCCAGAACAGAAGGAGCTACTCTCGTTTCCATCCACCCAGTGACGCCTCAAGAACTGCACACCGGAGAGGTTTCTTGGCTTTTATTTGCCCACAGAAAACACAAAAGGTCAACATCAAAGTCACACAAGCAACCAGCCCTGTTGTGCGGACCCCTGTCCTTGGCTACACCGAGTCTCCTCCTGGCCGGCCGGTTGGACCGCGGAACACAGTGGCTCCATGTGCTGACGGCAACGTCCCAGGCTCTGGGGATCCAGGGATTCTGGGGCCCTGATGCTGAACGGGGTGGCCACTTCAAGGAGAGACGCTCTCAATCAGGGGTGGGATCCTTCCCACAGGAGTCCGTAGCCCTTGGTGCCCAGCATGGTGTCCAGTCCTTAGGTAGGTGCTGGTAATGGCACCGGAGGCCTGGCCTTGGGGTAAAGACACAGAAGGTCCCCACTGCATGTCTGCAGATGCTTCCGCCAACAGGCAGGTGGAGATGGTGGAGTTCACTGTGGTGGTGATGGGGTCAAAGGCGCCCAGTGATCCAGTCCAGGCCCTCAGGTCAGAGATCAGTGCAGAATAAGGCTGTGGGTACCTCTGCTCAGCTTCTGACTCTAGAGCCTGGCTCAAAGGGGACCCCAGGAAGGGGTCAGGGTGCCAGCAATGGGCAGGGAGGGTGCTCGTGGCCTGGCTTGAGATGAGATCTTGTCAGCTGGATGGTTCCACAAGAGGTTCTAGGAGGAACCATCTAGAGGAGCACTGTCCCACAGAACTTTCTGTGATGATGGAAACATTCATGTCTGCCTCGTTGGATAGGATAGCCACTGACCAGCCACATGTGGCTCCTGACAACTTGAAACGTAGCAAATGTGACTGAGGAGCTACACGTTCAGCTTTGATTAATTTTAATTAATTAAAAATTAGTCACACGTAGCCAGCGGCTACCATATTGCATGGTGCAAGCCTTGACAACATAAAACCCTTTCTTGGAGCCACACTGAGCGGAAGGGCCAAGCCCATCCCCGAAGCTGACCCAGGGATGACTTTCTACGCGGATGAGTGAGCGCCCAGTGTCCAGATGCCCTGAGCAACGAATGCCCTTTGGCGAGATCTGGCCCCTGGCCCTTGGCCACACTCCCACCTGGAAGGTCTGGGGTGCAAGGTGCCCCACTGCCCATCGCCCACCCCCACCCCTCGAGTCCCCTGGCCCGTGGGACCGTGGCTCTCCGCCTGACCTCTGTTGAACTCCTAAGGGAACAGTACCCAGCGCCGACCCCTGCGTCCAAGAGAATAAGCCCTCGGGTCCTGAGCGTCTGACGTCCGCCATGAAAGGAGAGGCACACCAGCAGGAAGCGCGGTACAGGTGAGGGGCGTTTAATGAGTTCAAGTTCAATACAGAGGCCACCGTCGGGGTCTTGCTGAAGCCGCTCCCGGTGCCCGTTCCCACCAGGCCCTCCAGGGCAGTGAACATCGTCCCTCCTTCAGGCTCGGTTCATCAGGCAGCTGATTCATCCCCAAGAATCTCACGGCAGGGCCTTCACCACTCCCTCTCCACTGCACCCCACCAGGCCAAGGGACACCTCCTCAGGCCTGGCCCCGACGGGCTCAGACACACCTGGTGACGTCAGAACTGGGGCCCCGGAGTCCAGACCACAGGCCAGTAGTTTTGGGGGGGCAGCTCCTCCACCTCCTCCAGGGGCCTATCTGGAGGGCCCTGGGTGCCCAGGGGCGCCGGGCACCTGGAAGGGACAGAGAGCACAGCAGAGGCTCAGCCTCTTGTGCTCGCCCAGCCAAGTGGTAAATCTTGGAAAGGCCAGGCCTCGGAGGGTCCTTACCAGTATGAGGGTGAGTACGTGGGCCCAGCACAGGGACAGGGGCGGGGGCAGGGCAGCGTGACAGCTTCGTTGTCACGGGGCTGAGCCTGGCTCGAGGAAGCCCCCTTTTCCAGAAGAGACGTGAAACAAGACACACGATTTCACAGATTCCGGAGCTCCAGGCACCGCTGACGAACGCTTCTCCCCACCCCACCCCACCCCACGACCCTTAAAAGAGGGAGACAGAGCAACCGCCTAGCAAGACCCAGGGTCCCATGACCAGGAAGAAAGAAACCACAATGAATGGGTCCAGGCTGGCCAGAGGGGCCACGGCGAAGGCGGCCGCCTGGGACGTGCAGAAGAGCAAAAGCAGGGTGGTGTAGGCGACGACCAGGACGGCCGGGGGGCCCGCCAGCGCCACCCACGCGCCACCGAGGGCACCTAGGAGGGACTCAAGGCCCGGCCAGGTCCTCTTGGGCCTGGCGGGAGGTGACGCCCCCCTGCCCCGCCGCCCGCAGCAGCACGCGCCGTCAGCACAGATGAGGCTGCAGTGGGGGGACCGCGGGGACTCCGGGAGCCCAGCGAGGTCGCTTGCACTGTCCAGCTCATAGCCCCCACTTTTCGGGAGCCCCGCCCGCCACAGGGTCACTTTGGCCTTAAGAGTCGGGGCCTTCCCCGTCCAGTCCCCCAAGCCCGCCTTGGCCTCCAGGTGACTCACGAATTTGAGCATGTTCCAGTCGAAGACGTAGTCGTAGGAGAAGCCCTGCCGGTGAAAGAGGTTACGGAAGAGCTGACGCAGGTACGAGTAGTCAGGCTTGTCATCGAACCGCAGGGAGCGGCAGAAGTTGAGGTATGTGGAGAACTCGGCTGGTGGGGGTCACAGAAAAGGCTGCCGTGAGGCCCAGGCTCCCCGGGCCCCACCCCCCACAGCCCGGGTTGTCCTGCCCACCCGCTGTCCCTCCAAACGCTTTCAATCTAGGAGGGGACAAGAAGACAGCAGAGCAGAGCAACGGTCCTCCTCACAGCGCTAAAACCCTTGCGAGCCGGTGAGCAGGGCCTTGAAGACTCGGCCAGACCCAAGAGCCGGGAATTAGGAGCAAGCGCCCCCTCGCAGTAAGGGGCACCGCAGGGCCTCAGGCCACCGCTCTACCTGCTCCTGCCAATCACTCTGGGGACCAGGCATGCAGATGGCAGATCAAGAGCTGCCATAAGTTCCAAAGGACAGTCAAGGGCACAGTGGGGAACTCCCAACATGACCAAAGCCACAGAAGGCAAACTGTGATCCAACATGACCAAACACAGAAGACCGAAGACACAGAAGGCATCTCCTCCTCTGGAAAGCAGGGGCGGGGAGAGCCCTTGCGAGCTAACAGCAAATGTATACTGGCCTCTGCCATTCCTGAAACCCCTGTAAATCCCTAAACGCTAAGAGCGCTAAGAGCATCTTCTGTTCCGATGCAGCGACTCCTAATGGCTCCTGGATGGGTGGGGGCTGGTCACCATCAAGACCAAGCCATGCTTAGCTTAGAATTTTCAGCGCCCCACCCCCAAACACTTCTCTAGAAGGGAGCGGGGCTGGAAATGGAGTTAGTACTCGCTTATGTCTACACAAGGAAGCCTCCGTAAAAACCCCAACAGTATGGGGTTTGGACAGCTTCCAGTTGGTGAACACGTCCCTGTAGAGGAGGGTGACACGCCCCAACTCCATAGGGACCGAAGCCCCTGTGCTCAGGCCCTTCCTTCCCAGACCTCACGCTATGTATCTCTTCACGGGGCTATCCATCCACATCCTTTACCAAAGCCTTTAATAAAGTGGTACGCAAAGTCAGTTTCCCTGAATCCTATGAGCTGCTCTAGCAAATTCATCCCAGCTGAGGAGGGGGGGCGTGGGAACCTCAGACTCACAGGCGGCCGGTCAGAGCACGGGCGGCAGGCCGGACTTGTGACCGGCATCTGAGGCAGGGACGGGGGCAGTCTCGTGGGATCGAGCCCCGAACCGGTGGGATCTGCCGCTGTCTCCAGGCAGATGGTATCAAAATGGAGTCAAGCTAGAGGACACCCAACGGGCGTCACAGAGAATTGCCTGGTGGGGGGAAAGGCCCCACACGTGTGGTGAGTAGAAGTTTCAGAGGCTCGCAGGGCGAGAAAGAACTAGCTTTTCCTAATATGCCACCCTCGCGGGGCGAAGCAGGGACAGCCCGGGACCAAGGCTCTGGGGCAGTGGCGGGGCGGTGTGGGCCGTATGGCCTCCTGTTCCCCTTAGAGGTGCCGCCTCCCCCCCGGGGGCTACTCACAGGGGTAGCCTTTGCAGAGGACCTCGATGGGCGTCGACATCTTCTTCTCACTGATGCGCTCATACTTCTGGCGCTTGGTGGCTGCTTTGAGGCCCTGCCAGGGCAGGGAGCCCAGGTTGAAGTACATGAGCACGTAGCCCAGACTCTCCAGGTCGTCTCGGCGGCTTTGCTCTGCACGGAGTCGGGGACAGGGTGAGGGGCAGGGTCCACCGGGGCTCCTGGCCAACAGAGGCCCCCCCTCCTCCAGGACATGCTCCCCACCCCCTCACTCCGCCGCCCCGCACGCCGGCTAGCTGCAACTCCGACACGAACACACACAGGTTAGAGTAACCCTTCTACAGAAAAAGGCCTGGGGCCGAGCTTTTCCTACTCAATCTTGGGCCTAGTTTGTCCAGCTCAGGAACTTTCTCACTCGACAGCTTTACAGCAGGCACTCTGGTGCCTTCTTGCTAGGCCACTCCAGGGACAGAGCACAAGTGTGGCCTCAGACAGGGCCAGGGTCAAGTCCGACTCTGGTACCTGCTAAGCCGTACAACCTAAAGCAACCATGTTGCACTTGTGAGCCCGGTGCCCCCCACTATACCAGGCTGCTTGTGGGGATGAAGTCAGGCACGTTAAGGTGCTTGCTATGTCACAGCTCTCCTCCTGGAGGGGAAGGCCTGACTTTGTGGCAACAACGCGGGGAAAACATCCAGCTGCAGAAAGCCAGGGCCCTGGCCCGCAAGCCCACGGGTGCACGGGGCTCCCGGGCCTCACACTCACCGATGCCCAGGTGGGTGTTGATGGAGGCGTAGCGGGCAGTGCCAGTCAAGTTCTTGTTTTCCCGGTAGGGGATGTGCTGGTGCGTGCGGGCATCCCGGTATTTCTTGGCCAGGCCGAAGTCGATGATGTACACCAGGTTGCCCTTCTTCCCCAGCCCCATGAGGAAGTTGTCAGGTTTGACGTCCCGGTGTATGAAGTTCTTGGAGTGGATGTACTCGATGCGGCTGATCTGGGGGCGGGGCGAGACAGCAAGTCACTGAGCAAGCAGTCCAGGGAGGGGCTTTCACCAAGCACTCAGGGCCAGACCCTGCACTGGGGCCTGAGGGCTGGAGTGGTAGGGACGGAAAACACACATCCGTGGGCCCTGGTCTGGGTAGGGCAGAAAGATCTGTCTCTGCAACTATGTGAGATGATCTCAAGGGGTAGGTCAAAGAGGGCTTCCTGGAGGAAGTGGTACAGACAGGAATTCTGAAAGAGGAGCTCCCCGAGGTTGCTGTGAGACAGCGAGAGAGAGCAAGGTAGGAGAGCTAATGGCAACATCTAGAAATGAAGCCCGGAAAGGCATCTGGGCCCCGAAGGAAGCCTCTGTGCCTGGCTCTACACCCTCATCGGACTTGCGGGGCCGGAGTTAGAGAGGCATTTCGAAGGCTGTTTTGGTAATCAGACCGTGGGGGAAGGGAGGAGATGGAGGAGCACCAATGAAGCCTCAACTCAGCTGGGGTGACAGAGATGGAGGACAAAAGACAGGATTTGTCCGCCAGCTGTCAAAGAACACCCAAGTCAAGCAGACACACAGACCTTTCCTTTAACCATCATGTCAGAAACTTAACACATATGCACACAATACATCCTCTGGCAAGTCAGTTCTGTCTCTGGGTCTCAGGCTTCTGAAAATCAACAGCCTCGTTTGGCTTGGCTGAGTACCTCCTATGGAGTGTCATATCCCGTGAGAATCTGACAACTCTCCTCTGCACAAGCACATTTAGCCCCAAACTGCAGATGTCTGCAGACTTTCTGTGGGCCAGCCGCAGACCAGGACCCTGCCTAACGGGAGCTCCGTGTATCATTCCAGGTCTAAAATGCTTTTCTGTTTTTAAAAAAGGTCTCCTGCCCTGAGTTTATAAAGGGCTTTAGGATCTAAGGGTCGCTTATCATCTGTTCTGGTCCAGGCACTGCATGGTGTCCCACTTGACCCCACAACAGCCCAGCAAAGGGGACACTCTGATCTGAGACAACTGATGGTCAGAGAGGCTTAGCAATCACTTAGAGTCAGCACACTTGGGTATGACCCAGGTCTGTGTGATCACTAGGCTTTAGAATCACCCCAGGGCAAAGTCCCAGGTCCTACCCCCAGGAGCCCAACCCAGTAGGCCTGGAGATCTGCATTTAACCCCCCTCCCCCATTCTACAGCCAATGGTCAAGGTCCCCTGGTCCTGGTCCAGGAACCAAGCCTGTCCTATGTCCCTGTCACTACTTCCTGCTGTGGCATCCTCCAGAAGCAGGAGACAGGGCTGGTACCCTGTGCCCGGTGGGGAAACAGAGGTTGGAAGGGAAGCCGCAAGCCCAGCAGGGCCCACAGTCCCTGGCTGGGGAGGGTAGGTGGGGACTCACCATCTGGTCGGCCAGGAGCAGCACCGTCTTGAGGCTGAACTTGCGGGAGCAGAAGTTGAAGAGGTCCTCGAGGCTGGGCCCCAGCAGCTCCATGACCATCACATTGTAGTCCCCCTCGGCTCCACACCACTTGATGGATGGGATTCCCACTGAGGGCCAGAGATGCAGGTGTCAGAGAGGACCCTCGCCCACACATGCACACCAGCAGGCACACCCCGGCCCGAGCTCCTCAGGCTCTGCCCCCAGGCCCCGCCCAGCCCTCACCTCCTCCCTGCATCATCTTGTAAAACTTGCTCTCGATATGCAGCTGTGGGTGCTTCGTTTTCACACACTCAAGCTTGATGGCAACTTCTTCACCAGAGGCAATGTTGGCACCTGCCAGGGGTGGAGGAGGGGCACAAGGGACCCAGGTCACGCTCGGCCAGGCAGGTGGCCTCAGGTCAGGGCCAACTCGGTTGTCTGACCCTGAGCAGTCCAGCGCCCCTTGGGGGAGGCCAGAGAGGTGGCAAAGGGCCCAGGACTGCATCCAAGGGAAGCGGAGGGACTGCAGTCAGGGCCAACTCGGTTGTCTGACCCTGAGCAGTCCAGCGCCCCTTGGGGGAGGCCAGAGAGGTGGCAAAGGGCCCAGGACTGCATCCAAGGGAAGCGGAGGGACTGCAGACACAGAGCGGACACCTGGCCCAGCTTGGGCGGGAGGGGAGAGGGGGGTAAGCGGCATGTGGGAGGGGAAGGCCGGGAGGAAGGAACTGCAGACATCTCAGAGAGCCACGGGCTGGTGCAGCGGAGAAGGCCAGACGTGAAGGGAGACGGGAGGGACTGCAGGGGGCTCACGGATCACGTAAGAGGAATTTTATCCTGGGAATGGGAACCACTGAGCTGGAGAGGAGTGAGGTCAGAGGGGTGTCAGGCTGAGGAGGAGAGAGGCAGGCGGAGCAAGGCTCTGTCTCAAGAAGTCCCAAGAAAGGGCGCCTGGGTGGCTCAGTTGGTTAAGCGACTGCCTTCGGCTCAGGTCATGATCCTGGAGTCCCGGGATCGAGTCCCGCATCGGGCTCCCTGCTCAGTAAGGGAGCCTGCTTCTCCCTCTGACCCTCCCCCCTCTCATGCTCTCTCTCTCTCTCATTCTCTCTCTCAAATAAATAAATAAATAAAATCTTAAAAAAAAAAAAAAGAAGTCCCAAGAAAGACCCAAATCCAAACTCTGCCTTGCCTCAGTTTCCCCCGCTCTAATACTGAGTGGGCTAGCTAGAGGCCAGGGACCAGACTGAGAGAAGCCAGGTGTGACTGCAGCGGCGGCAAACTGAAACAGTTGAGCCTTAGTACACACACAGAGCACGAGATCCAGAGGAGGACACCAGCGCTGGAGAATGTAGGATGGGAGAAAGCCTGCGTCTCAAGTCAGGGGAAAAGATGAGGCTCTGCCATAAGCGCCCTCGGAACAACTAGCTAGCCATCTGAGAAAAGACACCATAGTTCACGCCACACACACCAGGAGAAATCCCAAGTGAAGCAAAAGTTTGTGTGATAAAAAGAAAAAGGTGGAGTATAAGTTAGCATAGCTGCTTTGCCTTTTTTCTTGTTAAGTAATCTCTACACTGAACTTGGGGCTCAAGCCCACGACCCCAAGATCAAGAGCCGCACGCTCCATGGACTGAGCCAGCCAAGCGCCCCAGCACAGCCACTTTGAAAACCAGGCTGGCATTTTCCCAGTAGAGCTGAACACACACGTGTTCACACACACGTGCCCAAGCAAGCCCACTCCCGAGTATATGCCCTTCAGAAACACGTGAGCTCCAGGAGGAGAATGTTCACAGCTCCCAACCACCCGAATGCCCAACATCAGAACGGCTAAGTCGCCATGCAGTCGGAGAGCGGGAGGCCACAGTGCAGGGCAAAGCACCAGATACCGGCTCCAGGCGGCTCCCAGCATCCTTTTTTTTTTTTTTTTAAAGATTTTATTTATTTATCTGTCAGAGAGAGTGCGTGCACAAGCAGGGGGGAGCAACAGGCAGAGGGAGAAGCGGGCTCCTGCTGAACAAGGAGCCTGATGTAGGAGTTGATCCCAGGACCCCAGGATCATGATCCAAGCCGAAGGCAGAGGCTTAACCGACTGAGCCACCCAGGCGTCTCGGCTCCCGGCATCTTAACACTCAGTACGAGGGAGCAAGGAGCTGTCCCTTTCACAAGAACCCAAGGTGAAGACAAGCCAGTGCCCAGCAACGGGCTGTGTGGACAAACTGAATGCATCTCTCCATGCAGCAGGATGTTATTCAGCCACAGAAAGGAATGGAGGACCGATGCATGCCACAACATCGATGAACCTTACAAATGTGCTAGGTGAACAAGCCAGACACCAAGGCACAAATGCTGTAGGATTCCATTATAGGACATGTCCAGAATAGGTTAAATCCATAGAACCCGGAAATAGACTGGTGGTTGCCAGGGGTGGGGAGGGGGAAAGAAGGTGTGCCTACTTAATGGGCACGGGGTTTTCTTTTGGGGTGATGAAAATGCTTTGGAACTACATAGGAATGGTGGTTGCACAACCCTGGAAATGTACCAAATGCCACTGAATTGTGTATTTTGAAAATGGTTGTGTTATGTGAATTTCACCTCTGTTGAAAGATAGGAAGAGACAGGAGAACACAGGAACAGTTGAAAACACGCATGCTGAACAGGGTTAGGTCTAGGGATACAAATGTAATAAAATTCTTTAACACGAGGGAACAATTTCAACTGTCAGAAGGTGGTTCCCTCTGAGAGGGGATAGCAGAGGAGGGGGCACGAAGCGGTGGCAGGGGCCTACAAGGTGACAGGCACATTCTCTCTGAGGGGAAGGGGGAGGGTGCCTAATAGCACGCATATTTGCTGTATGTCTTCTTTTGTTATCTACTCAACACTTAATAAAAAGACAACAATGAGATCTGAGAAGAAAAGAGAGAACTGCCTTACAACTTTGGGGTAGGCAAGGCTTTTTATCCCTGTTTTAAAATTGAAAGGCCAATAAAAAAAGGGGGGGGGGGGCGGAAATGGCTCCATCCCATCCAAAAAGGGAATCCACGGCAAAAACGGCAGCAACAAAGTCCTAAGAAATATACCTATGACTTATTAGCGGCAAGTGGCTGGTAGCACTAACATGTTAACGAGCTCCTACACATCAGTAGGAAAAAGACCAAAGGCTCAAAGGAAACAGGGTAAAGGATCTGAATAGATGCTTCAAGAGAAAGAAATCATTAATATAAAAATGGCGCACTCATATGAAAAGATGCTCAACCTCCTTGTGAGAGAGGCCACCTATGACTGGTGCGAGTCCCGCGGTAAGACGGGGGGCAGGGCTGTGGGGCAGTGGGCACCGCGCCTCAAGTGGCCCGGGCGTGAACTGAGAAATTGGGCTCCCGCTTCGGGGGTGCACTCAACACCCCAGTGAGTGCAAAAAGGGCCTGGATGAGGCTGTTTGCAACAGCAAAACTTGGACATGGCCCAGATGTCCATCATTCTGGGGCCTGGTTAAATAAAGAATGGCCCATCAATAACATGGAATACAATGGAAAAAGAATGAGGAAGCTCTCTCTGTGCAGAAGTGGAAAGATCTCAAAGACATAGGAGGTGAAAAAGTGAAGTACAGAACAGTATGTATTCTATGCTCTTTCCAGTTTAAAAAAATAAAAAGATGGGGGAAATAATATGGATCTGTGTTTGGTTGTAACTACATAAGAAAACACTGGGAAGAAGCATGAGAAACCAGTGAGGGCCGGGCAGGGCTACGCTGACCGCTAGCCCAGGAGGGGACATTTCACCGGGTTCTAGGTTATGGGCTGCCACTTTTCCTGACACCTCTGTTGGGATATAATTCACATATTACACGATTACTTCTTTTTTTTTTTTTTTATTAAGTTTTTTAAATTTATGTGACAGAGAGAAAGACAGCTAGAGAGGGAACACAAGCAGGGGTAGTGGGCAGAGGGAGAAACAGGCATCCCGCAGAGCAGGGAGCCCGATGTGGGGCTCGATCCCAGAACCCTGGGATCATGACCTGAGCCGAAGGCAGATGCTTAACGACTGAGCCACCCAGGCGTCCCCACAATTACTTCTTTAAAGTGTACAGTTCAGTGGTTTTTACCATATTCGCAAGGCTGCGCAACCTACACCACAATCAATTTTAGAATATTTTCACTATCTCCAAAGCCCAGGACCCTTCAGCATTCGCTCCACATCTCCCCCAAGCCCCAGCTCCAGGCAACCACTCATCTACTTTCTGTCTCTACGGGTTTGTCTATTCTGGACGTTTCTTTTAAATGGAATCATACAATATGTGACCTCTTGTGACTGGCTTCTTTCACTCGGCATGTTTTTGTGTTTTGGTTTTTGGTTTTGTGTGTTTTCATTTTTGAACCCCATAAAATAAAATTAAAATTGGTAAGAAAATAGATTACCAAAGCCAGTGAGCAACTGGAGAAAAAGTACTTGCAAACTGTAAACTGCTTCTGGCACATCGACACTCGTCACTGGGGAGGGCCACACACGTTTCCGGAGGGCAGTGGGGATGTGGCGCGGGAGAGATTGTTCTGAGGTGTCAAGAGGTTTAGGAGAGTGCCTGGCACATAGTAAGTGCTCAGCGGAAGTTGGGTTTGGTAAGTACGAGCCCCTGGGCTTCAGACATGGGCCCGGCGACCTAACCGTGGGCAGGGCAGCAGGGAGGAAAGGCGGCACGGGCTCCGGAGGCCTGAGTAGGACCGTGCCAGACAGAGGTCACAGCAGGTACAAAGGAGTGGGGTGCAGTGAACTCTGAGTGGTTTGGTGAAGCTAGAGCTTGAGGTAGCTAAAGAAGATTGTGGAAGAGGTGAGGGAGGGAGAGATCAGAAGGGTCTCAAATGCCCAGCTAAGATCTTGGCCGGAAGCCTGAGACTCCACGGGCCAGGTATGGATGCCTTATTACAGGGATTCTCAGCCTCCTGGGGCCCGGCGATTCTTTGTTGTGGGGCCTGTCCTATGCACTGTAGGATGGTTAGTAGCATCCCTACCCTCTACCCACTAGCTGCCAGTGGTACCCCTTTTCCCTGAGCTCCAATGATCAAAAATGTCCCCAGACCTTGCCAAATGGCTCCTGTGGAACAAATCCGCCCCCCATCCCTTCCCCTGTTCAGACCCACTGGCATATTAGAAAGGACTGGAGAGGACGTGAGGGGCGAGGGAGACCCAGACGCTGATGGTGACCCCAGCCAGGGAGAAGGCAGAGACCTAGACACTCTGAAACTAGGGCCTCTAGCACTGTGATTCAGCAGACAGATGCAGGGAGGCGAGGTGCTGGGGAGAACACTCTTCCCCGAGATGCGGAGGGGCAGGCTGGAGGAGCCCTTTATCCCGTTGAATTCCCCCGCCATCCTGCAAGGACTACTGTTTGTATTTCTAGTTGACACGTAGAGAAAGTGAAACACCAAAGGTTAAGAGATCAAACCCCACACTAACTTCCCCAGGACAGGGAGCTCGCTCTCAGGCAAAGCCTTCAGGCCCCTGCAGAGTGCTGGAAAACGGCCACAGCGGGCTGCCCCCCACCCAGGCTCCCACCACTGCGAGGCCCCTCGGCTGCCCGGGAGTTGTCAGGAAGCCACCGGCCTTCTCTCTGATCTCCCTGAATTCTCACTGCTGGGGCTCAAATAGGTTAAGTAACTGGCCCAAGGTCACAGGACTACTGGGGGCGGAGCTAGGATTTGAATGTGAGTCTCCAAAGACCCTGCTTTTTTCTCTATTCCAGCTGTCTAGCGTCTCATTCATTCCATCAACAGACACACACTGAGGCCCGGACCAGCTGAGGCAGCCCTGCCCTGGATGAGCTCAGCTCACCCTCTGTGGGAGCAACAAAGCGGAACTCTGACTAAGTGCAAAATGCTGGGGCAGGAGAGGTGACCCAGCAGTCAGGGACAGTGGCCCTGCGGGGGGACAGTCCAGTCTGGAAAACACACCTGGACACAGAGAAGGGCCTGGAGCTGGCCAGCCCTAGGATCTGGGGCCTGGGGAAGTCCTGGGTGGGTAGAGGGGGTGACCAACCTCACATGGGGGCTCATTCAGACACCAACACAGACACACATAATCAGGGACCTGGCTGGACTGGAGATGCAGAACAAAGCACCCTCAAAACCACCTGTTGGGGAACACTGATCCCCCGCCATTTAGAACTGAGGAACAGAGACTGAGAGTATAGCATAGGGAGCTCTTGAGGACGCACAGCCAGCGGTGGTAGAGGGGACACGGTCTCGGCCGCTTCTGGACCCTGTGCAGCTGACCCGAGACCCTCAGCAGAAGCTGTGGGCCTTGAAGCCACGTCCACAGAGTGCTCGCCTTCGGCTGATCCTGGAAAGCAGGGCCTGGAGGCCGCGCCCAGCCCCACCTGCAGAGGCCATCTGGAGTCAGGCCCTGGCACTGGCACCAGTGACAAGAATGTGGCCAGAGCTTTGAACAAAGGGAGCCAGCGAGGCCAGCCGGGGAGGCCCTCCAATCACCACTGTCCCCACAGCAGCAAGGCAGGAGCCCAGGAAGGAGGTGGCAGGACATAGCGTCATGCCAGGGCCCCCCGGGCCTGAGCACCCAGCGGAGGCGGACAGGGGAATTGCTCTCAGGGCAGAACTGGCTCCCCACCCCTACTGGGGCCCAAGAGGACCCAAATCCTCTGACAGTAGCAAATCCCAAAAAAGACTGCGGGTTGGCAGAGGATACAACATAAAAGCACCACCACAGCTGGGCCGAGCATGCACAGGTGCTGTGCACACTGGGATCTCACTACTGCTTACCACCTTGTAGGCCTCATGACCCCATTTGACTGATGGGGAAGCCAAGACCGGCAGAGGTCATCACGCATCCAAGGGCATACAGCTAATGGAAGAAAAGCCAGCACCCAAACCCTGGTAGAATTTACTCCAGAGCCCGTACAAAGAGAAGTAAAGCTAGACCGGGTTTTTTTTTAAATGAACTAGATAAACGGGAAGTCCTGCCCCCAGGGAGGACCCCACATGGACCAGGGTCACTAGCTTTCCCAATGACCTTGGCCTGCTCCTCCCCTCTCAGGGCCACTGTTCCCTTCTGCACAAAGAAGGTCCTGGACTGGATGTTTCCTAGGAGCAGATGTGCATCTGCGCCAAAAGCTACTGCTCCATGCCTTTTTGCCCTTGGTCAGCCAGGCCTCATCATCACACACTTTCCCTATGGGGACACTGAGGCACAGAGCAGCCGCATGACTGTCCCACGGCTGCACAGAGTCAGGTCTGGAACCCAGGTCTGTCTGAGGTGTCCCTCCTGTGTTCTGTCACACTCTCTCACTCACGTGCGCATAAAGGCTGCCTTTTCTAGTGTTCAAGAGAAACACTGGGCAGCCAACCTGACCATACTGCACCTGCTTCTTGATGTGTGCAGAAGAACAGGAGGCCTCCATCTCTACCAGCTGCTGTGCGCGGCGACCACATTCAACCACATTCCAAGAGGACCCTGCCCAGCACCAACTACGTGCTCAGACAATGTCCCCTCCCTGTCCCCTCTGATGGGGAAGGGGGCAGCTCACAGAGAAGCAGAGTTCATACCCCAAGAGGGCAGAGACCCAGACCACTGGGTAAGAGACTGTCCCCCGCCTCCCAAATTCAGAACCAATGAGCACAGCACACGGCCTTGTTGTTTTTCTCTGCCCAGGACAGAAATTATTCACTTTGCTTTTCCAAGGAAGGAAAGAGAGGCCAAGAGACAGGAATGAGGATAAACCCCAGGGGCTGGACACCCAGCTCTACCAACTCCCATTCGTGATTACTGACACAGGATCTCCCCTCCACACCAACAATAGCAAGGGAAGGGCCGTGACCCCTGACCGCACACGCCCTCGGGCAGCCAAGAAGGCGGCATTTGAAGGCAGGAGCCTCCTTTTTGCCAGGTCGAGAAACGGGGCTGAGATGTCAGCGATTTGTTTAAAATGACAACATGAGAGCAAACTTAGACTTTCAACAGGAAGCACATCCGGAGAGCACGATCCTGAAAACTCTGACCAGACCCCTACCCCCACCCCTACCCAGAGGTTACTGGGAAAGTCTACGTCACTGTCATTCCGAAGCCTGCCTGGGCTGAATTCCAGGGGCCAGAGCAAAAGGAGGGGGCCCAGCTAGGAGCGAGTGGTAGCCCAGGCCTCTTCCGTCTACCAGCATCCTTCCCCCAGGAGGCAAGAAACAGGGGTGCTACCACAGCCTGGGCCTTCCCACGCCCAGCTGGAGACCCTGGTCATCTGCAGCTGGAAACCAGAGCTAAAAATACCCTCCTCTGTCCAGCCTGCAGCAAGTGGGAACTCCGCCCCACCCTGACTGTGACCCCGCTCCCCTGGCCTGCCTCACCCCCAACCTGCTGCTTCTCTCCCCACCTGGCATGGCCCTGGGGACAAAATGACCAAAAATGTGCCACTGGAGGCCCAGAGCCAAGTTCTGGCTGGAGAGCCTGAAGTCCTGGCACATTTCCTCCTACTTGTTCCCAATGCTGTCCCACGGGCCCCAGAACGACCACGCTGGAGTCAGGGACACTTACCCAGGTAGATGTCTCCAAAAGACCCACTCCCGATCTTCCGTCCCAGGCGGTACTTGTTTCCCACGCGCAGCTCCATGACTCACTCTCACTGCTGAGGGAAGCAGAGACACGGGGGTCAGGGAGGTGGGGAGCTGGAAAGGGAGCCTCACCGGCTGCAGCCCACCACACCCCCCCTGCCAAAGGCCAGGGAAAGACACAAGGAACTTGGGAGACGGGCATTCTCCCTCCCATTGTACAAGAGGAGAGCTGGCTGGGCTTTGCCTGAGGGCACCCAGGTGTCAGGTGGGCCGGTGGCCTCCACAGCTGAGGAATAGCTGAGGCAGGCTGAGGCCTTGTGTCAGGGTGACCAGGCAGAAGGTGGAATTGGAGATAAAGCCCCAGAGGAAAGAGCCAAGCAAGCAACTCCTCGGGGGACACTCGTTTGGGGACCCTCCAATAGGAGCCTCTCAGGGGCAGGCCAGTCACAATGGGCCAAGATCCTAAAAGGAAAATCAAAGACAAAGGGAGTGATGGGGAGGGGGGAAAATCAGGAGCCGATCATTCTGGGGGTGCTACCATGGCAACCACCAGCAAGTTCTAACCTCCAGGGATGGCAGGACATGTTGAATGGAGGGTCCCAAAGGAGTTCCTCAGCCCCTTTAGGACTCAGAAATGATAGGGTCCCCTGCCCCCACCCCTAAGCCCCCATGCTTCTGGTAACAAGAATTGGACACCAGGCCTCCACAGCCTGGCCCAGTCTTTTCAGAGGCCAGAAGTTGCTAGCTTGCAGTGTGCCCTGCAGGAGAGGCCTCCTCTCCAACTCAGAGGGCAGGCAGGAAAGGGGGCCCTCAGAACATCCAGTTGTCTCCCCCTCTCGACCTCACGACACCAAGCACCTCACACAGGCCTCTCTGCACAACATTCTTTGAATGGCCAGTTTGGGGCTGGCTTCCTTCAAGACTAGAAGGAGGGTCTCCTTAGAGGGCCCCATAGAGCAACTGAGGGGACCAAAGCCAGGTTTTTAGCCACCAGGCTCTGGGGTGGGAGAGGTCTGAGGGAGGGATGCTGATTGGAGCCACTCTCCTCCTTCCCATGTCCCGTCCTGGGTGCCCAAGCTCATGTGACATCAGGGGCCACCCTGGTAGAGACCCTCTGCCCTCTGAGGTCCTGGTCAGCAGAAAGGGAAACTCCAAGGCCAGGAGATGGTTTCTACAGTAGGGCATAGGGGACGGTGGACTATGGAACAGGGAGAAGGATGGGGGAGCCCGAAGATCTCAGAGTGTCTAGAAGAGGGGTCTTCCTCTGCAGACAAGGAACTCAGGCCTAGAGAGGCCCATCACCTGCCCCCCACTCCCCAGCAGCAAATTGGTGGCAGTCTCCTCCCCTGGGACCCAGACAGGGTTCCCCGCTGCCCCCACCTGACACGCACAGGACTTATTTCCTGCCAGGGCTGGGAAGCAAAGCAGGAAGATGGAAAAGCAGCTGTACTAGGCATAGCAGCCGGGCCCCTGCCCTAAGCCCAGTGCTATCCCCGAAGCCAGACCCACCTGGGAGGGGAGATGGGAGAGATTTAGTTCGCAGATGGTGGGGCTGGAGCTCTCGGCACCCCCTCCAGCAGGGGCAAGAAGCCAACAGCTCCTGCCCAGGAGAGACATCCAGCCCCAGCGGCTAACTCCCAGCGGAGCCACCACTAGCCCTGCACTGAGGACCACAAGGAAGTAGCCTCCACCCCATGCCAGCCAAACTCTGGGCTCTCAACCAAGGGCCTCTGCCCACACGCCTGGCCGGTCCCGGCTGAGGTGCCGTGGCTGCGAGCGGAACACACTCCACATTTGCAGAAAACTCACAAGCCACACATTTCACATACACAGCGACCTGGGTGTACACTCCAAAGGAAAAAAAGAAAAGCAGACACACACCATAAGCCCCATGGTGGGGGGGGGGCAGGGGGGAGTAAGGGGGGGTGCTGAGGATGTGTACACACACAAACACTGCCCCCCCCGTTCTGTTTTCCGCCAACGCCAATTCAGAGACCACACATGGCAGCCGGGAAAGCCGCAGGTTAGGAAAGGAACATAAATGTACCCGCATCCTATATTACATAAATACCCACGCCGGGTTACATAAATACTCGCGCCCTCCGTCTGGGTGCCTTACATAAATACACTGCACATGACCCCCCAGCCCCTCCCCACTCACCGGGCTATGGGCAGAGAAGGGGAGAAGAGAGGGTGCAAACAAACCAGCCCTGCCGGAAACCACTGCTGGGCGCTAGCCACCCAGACCCAGGGGGCCAGGCCCCCAGGGAGAGCCTACACTGTCCCAGCCCTGTCCCCTAAAAAGCCTCCCAGAGGAGAGGAGAAAGGATTGAGTCAGGAAAAGGAGAAGCTTGCCAGTTCTTTGCTGCTTCTCCCATGGGGGGTTGGGGGGTGGAATAAACGAAGTAAAAAAAAAAAAAAAAAAAAGAGAGAGAGGCAGACGCAAATCCAGAGTTTCAGCTGGTTAAAAAAATTACACAAACTACCAAGCAGCAGAGCACATGGGCAGTTTTCTTACTCTCTGACACCCCCTCACCCCAGCCAGGGCCCTGGTCACTGGACCATTAAAATAAAAATTGGAGGGACATTCCAGACAGGAAGGCAAAGGAGCCCCAAGTCCAGGCATTCGCTGGGCGCAACTTCTGACACCCGGGATCTCCGTCCCTTCTCCCCAAATCCTTCTCCCTGAGAAAGGTTGTGCCAGGAAGAACATATGCAAGAGAACTAAGGGCAAAGTTGGGGAGGGGGCTCACCCCACTTTGAGTCTGGGCGTGAAGAGGAGCTCGGAAATCCTCTCTCTAGAGATAACCCGGACACAAACATAGTTTCACGTTCCACAGAGACTTGCAAAACATGGATTTCTCACGGGCAGAAACGGTAGAATCCGATCTGATAAATAACCCCCACCCCTTTCTTTCTCTCCACAAAGGAAAACAGAATCGGTGGCTGGGTGACCACACACCCCATCACCTCGGGGGCCCCCACGCGCCCTGGAGCGCCCCCATCCAACATGCGGGAGCAGCCTCGTTGACCCCCAGGTCCCGAGCTCCGAGCCAGGAGAGAAGGGGGGAGGCGCTGCTGATTGTCCGGCGAAACACACAGAAGCCCAGGGTTTGGCCGAGAAGCCCGAATCAACAGTATCAACAGTCTCGGGTGCCCCCAGCGCCCCAGTCCCGGACCCCCCCTCCCGTAGGGTCCCCCAGTTACAGCCCCGGGGTGGCCCCTCGGCCGGCTGGGGCCTTGAAGGGTCCAGCTGGGGGAGGGGGAGGCGGGCCGGACTGGGGGGGGGGGCCCCCCCCGGGGAGCCCGCAAAAAAAAAGTCCCCCCCCCCCCCCCCCCCCCCCCCCCCCGCCTTTTTCCCCGCGGGGCGGGGCGGGCGCCGCCCGCCCCCCCCCCCCCCCGCCCCGTACCCGAGCGCTAACGCGCGTGTGTCCGCCCTCCCCTCCCCTCCCTCTCGCGCAAAAACAAAGAGGCGGAGGGAGCCCCGTTTCCCCCCGGGTTTGCGCCCCTCCGCGGGCCCGCGGGCCCCCAATATTTACCCCGCCGGGAAGGCGCCGGTGCCGGGCCGCTGCTCGGGGGGCTGCCGCGGGCGGGGGCGACCCGCCGGGGCGGATGCCGGAGGATTCGCGGAGCCGCCCGGCGCGCCAGCCTCTCCCGGCCCAGCCGCCGCTGCTGCTGCCGCCGCCGCCGCCGCCGCCGCCGCGCTCCGCTCCGCTCGGCCCCGGCCGGGCTCTGGCTCTGGGTTCTCGTCGCCGCCGCCGCCGCCGCCGCCTCCCTCCTCCGGGCCCTCCTGCCCGCCCGCCCCCGCCGCCGGCTCGCGCGCTCCCGCCCGGCGCGCACCCGCCGGCTCCCATTGAGCCCCGGGCCCGACCGCTGATGTCATCCCCGGCCCGCCGCCGCCGCCCCGGAGGATTTAAAGGGCCCGCGCCCTCGGCTCCCGGGGACGCTGTGGGGGGGGGTGCTCAGCCGGGAAACACGGTCCCCCCCCGCGCCTGGCGAGGGGAGCGTTGCAGGAACGCGGTCTTACGTGTGGGGCTGGGGAACACACACAGCCGACACCCTGATCCAGTCTGGGGCACAGGTGGAAAAAACTGGGTGGGGGTGGGGAGGAGGCGGGCGCGCAAAAAGCTGGGGTTTTCTAGATCCAAAGCCTCCTCTTCCCCCGGTTCTCTCTCCTCTCAAACCAAAGCAGTGGCCCCCTGCGAAGGCCGCTGCAAAAAAAAAAAAAAAAAAAAAAAAAAAAAAAGAATGGCGAGTTGGGGGCTCTGAGTCCTTCAGAGAACACAGGCCAGGTTGATTCAGGGGTCAGTGATTTGACAGGACAGCAGGAGATAGAGAATGCCATTGACCAAAGACCCGGGAGGTAGCTACCCTCACCACCCCCCACACCCCTCACCCCAGAGAAAGGACCCTCCCAGCTTCTACAGCAGGGCAGACTGTGATGGGCACGAACCCCCAATTCTGGTCTCACTGGTTTGAAGAGGAACCCTGCACACTGCCGGGGAACTAACACGAGTGAGGGTTCCCAGTGGTGCAGGGTCAGCTAAGGCACCTCCCAACTCTGGGCTTGGCTTTCCATATCTACAAATCAGGAAGAAGACCCCTGGCTCCCCAGGTCACTGGGAGAATTAATTAAGGCTTCTCACCAGCTTCCAGGGTAGCCAATGAAAGGTTTCAGGGCAAAGTTATTAAAACGATGATACTGACACTGTGCCATGCAAAGCTCCAAATTATGACACACATCCATTCACACACAGAGTTGTGATGGTGGGCCCACAAAATACCAGAGTGCACTGCATCCAATCCCGGAAGCATGGTTCCTGGGAAGAGTCACTTCCATAATAACCACATCCTCCCTCGAGCCTGAGGGACTTAGTCACACACTGTCCAAACTGGTGGGACCCTGAAGAACAGGCTCCTCCTCTCTCCCAGACTAGGAAACTGGGGCCCAGAGAGGGCAGGGGTTTGCCCAGGACCACACAGCACAGCAAGATAGATAGCTGGCCTGGGCCAGGACCTGGCCTCAGTGCGCCCTTTGCCAGAGCAGGGAGTCACCAGCCAAGATGGTGGG